AAAGAGCGAGACACGCACCCAGCCCCACTAAAATTCGCCCCCTTCGCCCAATACGGGTTCCCCCTCGACAGCAGCACCTTGCGCGTCGCCACGTACGCGGGGTGGGCTTTATCCAAGAACCCGAGGTACGGCAGGGAGAGGAGCGAGGGCACGTTAGCGTCGTCCATTACGTAGCGGCCGCCGAAGCCTGTGTGTTGCGTAAACAAAAATAAAAAAAGATGAGAATTTGGGTTATAAAGGGGGAAGGGGGAAGGGAGGGAAGAGAGGAGGAAGGAGGGAAAGAAAAGGAGGGAGAAGGAAAGAAAGGCAAACAAAACACACCATTCGTCTCATACGCAAATATATTATCCACCAGCGTATTCGCCCACACAGACGCCGAGACCCGATCGCTCCACTCCCCCGCCTGCTGCGCGAACGATTTTGCTTGGGTGTCTGGGGGGGTTGGTGTGTGTTAGCGAGTGTCGGAATATATGTTAGTCGGATTATATGGGAGTGAGTGTCAGGATATAGCGTGGTTAGTGTCGGAATATAGCGTGGTATTAGTTATAGGTCTCCGACGAGGATCCTCGCATAGAGCATAGAACATATAGCATATAGCGGATCCTCGAATCCCCGAGGTGAGGATACAAGGATAGCGAGGTGAGGATACAAGGATAGAGGATACAAGGACGGAGGAACAGAATAGAGGAAGGAAGGAAAACAGACTTACTACTCTTAGTCTGCCCCGACGTCGTCAATATATCCTTCAGATGCGCCAACTCGACGGAGAGCATGGCGTTCGCGGGCGTGAGGAACGCAAAGACGGAGATGTCGTCGGAGGGGCGGTGGTGCGTGCCGACCATGCCTGCGTTGCGGTGAGTGTCAAAGTATGAGGGGAGCGGGGGGAAATGGAGAAAGTAAGGATAGGAGGGTAGGGTAGGGAGGAGGCGCGGGGTCGCGTCCACCACCTCGCGCACACCGAGAGGCGAGCCTCCGAGGTACATACATACCCACCCACGCCCGTCCCGCCGCCTCATCGATATAACACCCCAAAGCGTCTCTTCAAAAGTTCCAAAAAAAAGAAACGCACCCGTATAAGCCTTCGGCTCCCCATTCCCCCCATTCGGCACCGCCGGACTTAGCGCGCCGTTCCCGCCCGTCCAGTTGTAGTACGAGATGCGATTAAAGTTGGCGTCGAACGTGGGCTGGGACTGTTCGTTGACGACGCGCAGGATTTGCGTGATGGCGGCGTACCCTGTGCGAACGAACGAACGGAGTGAGTTGTGCGGACTTTACACGAAGGGGTGAACGGAGGGGGAGGAACGACGATGAGGATAAAGGGAGGAGAACGCACAATTGGCATTCATAAACGACGCGTCCTTGGTCGCGCCATAGTACGCCCGCGAGAGCTTCAGGAACCCGCAGAGCGAGTCGATCTCGTATTTGCACTCAAAGACCGTTTGGTTGTTTACGGGGGGGTTCACAGTGACGCCGTCCGCCCAGTCGTTGTGGCTCGGCGCCAGCCCGGACTCGGGCGGGGGTTGGAAGGAGCCGCAGTAGGGATACTGCGACACGTAACGCGCCTCGTTGTTGATGACGGCCTTGACGAGCGTGGCGAGGGAGGGGTCGACGGAGAGGAGGGCGGTGTAGTGCGCGAATTGATTGGCGGTGTCGCGGAGCCATTGGGCGGTTATGTCCTATATAAATAATAAAAGACGAGTTAGTATGTAGGGATAGATGAAGGCCAGGAGGGACACACCCCCGTGATAATAAACGCCAAATTCTGCGTCGCGTTAAAGTACTTCACGGTCGTGTCGAGCGTATTGGGGAACGTGTTCTCGAAGAGACGCGCGATGTCGGGGTCTTTGAGGCGCGCTTTCATGTCTGTGATTACTTTCTCGACGGCGGTGCTGTTGAATGTGCGGCATGCTAGATACACGGGGGGCGAATGAGCGACAGCGAAGCGAAGCACTTGATGCGTATAAGAATAGAACGCAGACGCACCGGGACTGGGACGCATGTACGGCAGCGCAAGCGGGCCACTCGACGGGTTTCCTTGCGCTTTCTATCCACGCACTCAATGACGCGTACATCCATCGAACGAATGAAGCGCACCTGCGAGTACCCCGTATAATCAGGACACTGCGCCAGCACGCGCCCGCCGAGCGCAACGGCGGCGAACACAGCGGAGAGGGTCAGTTTCATCTTCGTCTTCAGTTTGTGTATGCGGTGGTGGAATGGTGGTGGGTGGAACACCGACGCGGGGCTGACGTTGCTTGCTGCTTCTGTTTTATATGCTGGCCACTGGCGCGCGGAGCACATGGTGAGCCGCAAAGAAACGGTGGTTCGGTGCTCACGAGGACGCGAGCGATGTCGTATAAGGGCACACCTGACTGCCGACGCGAGATCAGACGTGTGATCTTCCATCAGCCAATCAGGGAGGGGCGGATCAGGCGCGCCGGGGTGGGGTAGATAAGATAGATAATGGTAGATAAGGGGGATAGGGGCGGTTGGGTAGCTGATATGGTGGGTGATTGCGTCTACGAGTAACTCTACTGTGGTGCAGCTCAGAGCGGGATCGAATCTGGAGGGGCCTGGGAATTCACAATGTCATGATGCTGTCGCGAGATTGACACATGAAATTCTCTTTTGGGTGATTGTCTCACTTAAGTGGGATTGAACGGCTCCAACTCGGCCGAAAAGAATTCGGGGATGATACATTCAATTATTCACTGCAGAGGAAAAAAAAAACGCGGACGGTACCGATTATGACCCAGCCTGGAGTCGAACCAGGTCCTTCTGCTTTAATTCTGATCGATATTAGCAGTACGCACTAATGGAGGCAGATGCACACCCCGTGCGACCGGGTCTTATTCACCCTACTTCTGTTCCAGTATAACCAGGGTACAATTCAGCCGATGACTTGGGCAAAAAGAAACCGCTACTGTTTGGTATGACCCAGCCTGGAGTCGAACCAGTTGTCTGCTGTAATGTAGCGTGATGGGCTTCGCACTGAAAGCAGATGCACACCCTATGCAACTCGATCTTATTCCCTCCCTTTGGATATTCTGAAAGATATGCACCTCGCAGGTGGGGTGGGCAAAAAATATGTCAAAATCCGCGCAAGACCCGGCCTGGAATCGAACCAGGTACTTCTGCTTTAGCTTCTGACATCACCGCAAGTGAATGAAGGCAGATGCACACCGAGTGCTACCGGGTCTTATTTCCCTCATTTCTGTTACATTGTACAATTGTAAAAGTAGTGTGCAACCAACTGGCAACCTATGCAAAAAGCATCAGATTTACTGACCTATGACCCAGCCTGGAATCGAACCATATCTTTCCACTTAAATTTGATTGACAGATCCCTCAGCGAAAGCTGATGCACACCAAGTGCTACTTGGTCTTGTTTCCTTTACTTCTGTTACAGTATGAGTGAGTGAAAAAAAAACCGGGTGACCGGCATGGAGAAAAAAGATTGAATGCCCAATGGTGCATGACCCAGCCTGGATTCGAACCAGGACCTGCTGCTCGAACTTCCTCGAGAGAAATACGAAGGAAAGCAGATGCACTCCGCATGCTACAGGGTCTTATTTACGCCATTTCTGTTCCCGTATACGCTGTGTGAAATTCACCGATGATTTGGGCAAAAAGCAAGCTGTGGCAATTATTTGGTATGACCCAGCCTGGAGTCGAACCAGTCATCTGCTGTAATTTAACGCGAAGAATTGCGCACTGAAAGCAGATGCACACCAAGTGCTACCGGGTCTTATTCCCTTAGTTCTGTTCCAGTGTAAGTTGATTTAAATTTCACCGGCGACCTATGCAAAATTTATGACCCAGCCTGAAATCGAACCAGGTGTCTGCTGTAATTTAACGTGACGAGTTCAAACCGAAGAAGGCAGATACACTCTAAGTGCTACAGGGTCTTATTCCGAGTTCTGTTCCAGTGCAAGTTGATTTAAATTTCACCGGCAACCTATGCAAAAGGCGACACATGGCACTGGTTCATGACCCAGCCTGGAGTCGAACCAGGTCCTTCTGCCAGATTTTGCCACACTCCACCGTTTATCGAAAGCAGATGCACAACGAGTGCTACCAGGTCTTGTTTCCCTCACTTCTGTTACAGTATGAGTGGGTGAAAAATAGGGATTGACTGGTTTGGAGCAAAGAAAAAAAAATCCATTGTCCCGGACGATGACCCAGCCTGGAGTCGAACCAGATTTATCCGCAGTAATATTGTGTTAGCCTCGACTTAATGAGGCAGATGCACACCAAATGCTACCGGGTCTCATCCTCCTACTTCTTTCGCAGTATAGCTGACGTAGAATCAGGGAGTGAGTTGTGCAAAAAGGCAAAAAATAGTCACATCCATACCAAGGCCCAGCCTGGAATCGAACCCCTTCTGTGTCAATACTTATCACATATCCAGTGCAGAGAAGGCAGATGCACACCAAGTGCTACTCACTGCACTCAGACCCCCCCGTAGGCACAGATGTGCCCACCCTCGCCGATCTCCGCCTATGGGTTGCCCACTCAAGCCGACGTTGGTCAACATTAATAGGCATTGGCCAACGTTGGTCTAGCATCCCTACCAAGGCAAAGTCTGCCCACTTTGGTAGATCTTCGCCGACCGTGGTGTGCCTATCTTGGTCTTGGCCAACCTTGGCCAACCTGGGTCTACGTTGGTGTCGGTTGGAATGGCTGGACGTACAAACCATGTTGGATTTTGAATTTGGCTAACTAGGCTTAGCTAGGCTCATTGGCCTATGTCAGTCTATGTGTGCCTATTCTGGTCGGAATACCTAGACCAACCACGGCAGGGATGGGCAGATGGATTGGCAGGGGTCGGCACACTGGTCTGCCTACGCATCTGCCTATCGGGATCCGGCAGACCTGTGCCTACAGGGGGTCTGAACGCTGTGACTGGGTCTTGTTTCCCTCACTTCTGTTACAATATGAGTGGGTGAAGCAAAATAGGGTTGATTAGTGTGATGCAAAAAGGGATATGGCTTCCTTTTTGACCCAACCTGGAATCGAACCAGGTCTATCTGCTGTAATTTCCCGTGATGAGCTCAACACTGAAGGCAGATGCACCCCACGCAACCACTGCGTTCCAGTCCCTGATAGACAGAGGGTCTGGCTACCGGCGTAGACAGAGGAGTAGACAAGACAGTCTGTCTACACCTCATAGACATAGTACGTCTACATCTGCCATATCCGTCTACCTGAGTCCACCAATGTAGATAGAGGGTAGACCGAGGTAGCCAGAGGTAGACTGAGGCAGAACTCACGTAGACCAATTGCTTTCTGTTAATTCACAATGTCGGGTCTCTGTGGATTAGCGTGAATAGGATGCGTCTACCGGCATAGACGGACATAGACATAGCTAGCCAGACCGTGTCCGCGCGAGGTAGCCGCAGGTAGCCGAGCGACAACAGATCTGCGTCTACTTCCTCTGTCTACCCTCCATCGACGGATGTAGCCAGATTTTTACCGATGTAGCCACAGGTAGCCGAACGCCGACAGGGGTCTGTCTACGGGGGCCCGGAACGCAGTGAACCGGGTGTTATTTACCTCAATTATTTCCAGCAGAGGTGGACAAGAAAAATGCAGGTGACTAGCATGGAGCAAAAATACACTCGTTGCTGCTTTGGTATGACCCAGCCTGGAATCGAACCAGTTGTCTGCTGTAATTCAAGTCAAGATCAACAAACGTGGGCAGATGCACCCCCGTGCAACTGGGTCTTATTCACCGCACTTCTCTTACAGTATAACGAGGGTGGCCGATGACTTGATTGTGCAAAAAGGCAAAACAGTATCACATGTAAGACCCAACCTGGAATCGAACCACGTCCTTCTGCTTTAATTTATACATTGCGCCCCACTGAGAGCAGATGCACAGCTCGTGCAACTGGGTCTTATTCCCTCATTTCTATTCCAGTATAACGGGGTTCACCTAGGTCGATAACTTGTGCAAAAAATCCTCGCAGCCATCTCAAGACCCAGCCAAGAGTCGAACCAGGTTATTCCGCAGCAAGTTGGTTCTGGAGGGTTGCTACTGAGCGCTGTGCAACGCGGTCTTGTTTACCTTACTTCTGCTCCAGCGGAAGTGAATGAAGGAAAATAGAGAGTGACTGGGATTGAGCAAAACAATAACCGATATTGTTACATGACCCAGCGTGGAGTCGAACCAGGTTCATCTGCTGTAATTTGGCGTGACGAGCTGCAAGAGCTCGGTAATCTTGTCTCATGGGTTGTGAATAGCTTTGAACAATGTGTAATTGCAAAGCGTGCACGTAGTGTAAGAGTAAGAGTAAAGCTAAATAATCGTAAATATGTCACGTATTTATGCTGACAAGGTTCGCCTTGCGAACCTAACACTGCCAACTATGCTTGGCCCCGGGGTCATTGGGACAGAACCCTAACACGAACTCAGCACTGAAAGCAGATGCACACCTCGTGCAACTGGGTCGTGTTTCCCTGACTTATCCAGTATAACCAGGGTTACCATCGGCCGGTGAGTTGGGCAAAAAGAAAGTGCATCAGTGATGAATGACCCAGCCTGGAGTCGAACCAGGTTCTTCCGCACTAATTGTAGACAGAGATCCTAGTAAAGGCAGATGCACTCCAAGTGCTACCAGATCTTATTTCCCTTACTTCTGCTTCAGTGTAGGTAGTGTGCAACCAACTGGCAACCTATGCAAAAAGCATCAGATTTACAACCTATGACCCAGCCTGGATTCGAACCAGGTCTATCTACTTGAAATGGATTGACAGGTCCTACAGCGAAAGAAGATGCACACCTCATGCAACAGGGTCTTGATTCCCTTACCGCAACTACGTTATATATGATTTGAATTCAACCGGGAACATCCGACCCAACTGTTTGTACGTTGGGAACCTGATGGGTAACTCTGCCCGTAATTGTGTCTTGGGTAAGTTCCAGGCTTCACACAAGAAGATGCAAACTGGGTTCCGAGACACCCAGAATAGGGAATCAGGCCCAAGGATGGCAAATACCAGTGCAGGAGCCATGCCGTACTGCGCGCCTGTGCAAGCGCCCTTCCCTTCCCGTGGATCGTGCATGTGCGCCGTCGGTCGCGGTACATGAATAGAATGATTTCGAGGCGTGTCAGAATTCACAGGTGCACACATGGCATCAAGAGATGGTTGCATACATGATACCACACCGATTTAACAATTACACAAGCATGTGATAGGGCTCGCCACAGAAGCATGGGGTATATTCGGAATTGGAACTGTTGGTTTCCCGACACAGTGATGAAGCTAGACTCGTGAACCAGTCGACGCTAGCAGATTGATCTCAGACCGAATGCGGAACATCATGCAAACAAAGACAACAATCACACAAACAGATACATCAATCAGACAAAGAGAGTGCAACAGGGAGATCAACTGCTAGCGGACTGGGCCCCCATGGCGCTGGTTTGGCAGGACGATTTTTCCCCCGCCATTTCAGAGGCTCGGACTTAGAAAATTCGAGCGTTTGGAAGGTCCGGACGCTCTAAAAAAGTGTAAAAATTTCCTATATCAAAGTGGGATAACTTTTGATTCTGAGTAGAATGAACATAACATGTTTTCCGCATGTTACACTAACTCGAGCTCGTCGTCGGCGCACGGACCACCTATTTCTCAAAGTACATGCCAATTCTCCTCTCCGGTGACGAGAACATACTTCAAAGTACGCAAATTTGAAGCAGGATATGCCCTGGCATATAATCAATACATACCTTGAATTGAATTGGCCAAAAACTCATGTCTGTTGGCGGCGTCGTTGTCGCCGACGACGACGACCTCAAAATTTGATCGGGAAACAAGTTAGGCTCATTCGATAGAGAATTTAATTCTACGCTGCCTCAACCTAATATGTCTGGGGGTGATTTTTCGAAATTTTGACGAAGTCCGAGCCTCTGAAATGGCGGGGGAAAAATCGTCCTGCCAAACTGTCGCCCAGGGGGCCCAGCCGGCTACGCCTGATGCGAGTTCTACGAGTGATGTGTATACATCTGTTTGCGCGTAGCCGGATGGGGACGAGCCTATGATGAAGCCCAAGACGAGTTTGATTCAGGCAAATAAAGATACCATCACAATAAATCACAAAGGCAAATACTCAAATGGGGAGTGTGAAGTGCAGGTTGGGCAGAGGGAGTGCGAAGGGATGATCACAGCAAGGACAGTGCGAAAAGGAGCGTTAGACGGGGACGATCGCAGCAAGGATGGAGCGAGCGTTAAAGGAGGATGAAGCGTGAAGGCAGTGGGCACCGAACACCCATGACAAACCAGACGAAAAAACGATGCGGATGCGGACGCGGGGGAAATCGCGGTAAAATGGGGAAAAGGAACAAACAAAAACTCACAATTCGCATTCATAAACGACGCGTCCTTGGTCGCGCCATAGTACGCGAGAGCTTCAGGAAACCACAGAGCGAGTCGATCTCGTACATGCTAGATACACGGGTGGATGGGCGACAGCGAAGTGAAGCGCGAGTTTGATGTATGTAGGTATAAGAATAGAATAGGAACAGGACGCACCGGGACTGGGACGCATGTACGGCAGCGCAAGCGGGCCACTCGACGGGTTGCCTTGCGCTTTCTATCCATGCACTCAATGACGCGTACATCCATTGAATGAATGAACGGCACGCACCTGCGAGTACCCCGTATAATCAATCGGGACACTGCGTCAGCACGCGCCCGCTGAGCGCAACGGCGGCGAACACAGCGGAGATGGTCAGTTTCATCTTCGTCTTCAGTTTGTGTATGCGGTGGTGGAATGGTGGTGGGTGGAACATCGACGCGGGGCTGACGTTGGCTGCTGCTTCTGTTTTATATGCTGGCCACTGGCGCGCGGAGCACATGGTGAGCTGCAGGGGATGGTGGTTCGGTGCTCACGAGGACGCGGGCGATGTCGTATAAGGGCACACCTGACCGCCGACGCGAGATCAGACGTTTGATCTTCCATCAGCCAATCAGGGAGGGGCGGATCAGGCGCGCCGGGGTCGGTAGATTAGATGGATAATGGTAGATAACGAGGATAGGGGCGGTTGGGTGGCTGATATGGTGGGTGATTGCGTCTACGAGCAACTGGCATTTAAGAGCGAGATGGAGTGCATAGGGCACCATCCGGGCTTGGGAATTCACAATGTCATGATGCTGACCCATGATTGACACATGAAATTCTCTTTTGGGTCGCTTTTGGGTGATTGTCTCAGCTAAGTGTCAATTGAACCGTTCCAACTCGGCCGAAAAGAATTCGGGGATGATAAATTGAACCATCCACTGCAGAGGAAAAAAATCGCGGACGATACCATTCATGACCCAGCCTGGAGTCGAACCAGATCTGTCCACTTAAATCTGTTTCACAGGTCTTACAGCGAAAGCAGATGCACACCCCGTGCGACCGGGTCTCATTCCCTGCCCTTGGATATTCTAAAAGATATGCACCTCACAGGTGAGGTGAGCAAAAATGTGTCAAAATCCCCGTAAGACCCGGCCTGGATTCGAACCAGTTGTCTGCTGTAATTTAACGTAAAGAACTCAACACTGAAGGCGGATTCACGCCTTGTGCAACCGGGTCTCATTCCCTCAAATGTGTTCCATAATAACTGGGTTCAAATCAGGGAATGAATTGAATTGGCAAAAACACTACCGATTGATTTTATGACCCAGCCTGGATTCGAACCAGGATATTCCGCAGCAAGTTGGTTCTGGAGAGTCGCTACTGAGCGCGGATGCACCCTGTGTAACCGGGTCTTATTACCTGACTTCTGTTGCAGTATGAGTAAGTGAAAAAAATGTGGGTGACTGGGATTGAGCAAAAATAGTCACTGACACTGTTATATGACCCAGCCTGGAGTCGAACCAGGTCATTCCAGTAGCAAGAATTCCGAATCAACTAATGAAAGCAGATGCACACCGAGTGCTACTGGGTCTTATTTGCCTCACTTGAAGGCTCTTCTGTTCCGATACAACGAGGGTAAAATTAAGCCGATGAATTGGGCAAAAAGCAGCCTCTTACTTGCTATGACCCAGCCTGGAATCGAACCAGTTGTCTGCTGTAATTTAACGTGAAGAGCTCCGCACTGAAAGCAGATGCAC